AACAAAGCCGAAGTAAGACCAATTGTGTGTCTCCGAGGCAGCACTGTGTATTTTGTTACTGAATTAATCTGTGTTTTTGAACAAATTATTTGAGTCAATGATTCAGTGGCCCATTCATAAAGACAATCACTAGTTTAGATTCTAAAGAATCAGCCGTTTTGAATGAACGATTCAATGGATCACTCATTAAGACGGAGACTTGCTGCCACCTACTGGCGGCTTTAGTGTCATATTTATTTATCCATGACAGGCTTAAAAACCAACCAAGGTGCTATCTCAAAAACACACTCTGCAAAATATGGTAATTATCACTATATAAAAAAAAGACATTTTGTGTCAATTGCACACCCCTAAAATAACCAAGCATCATCTTTAAAAAAAAAGTTGTCCTAGATTTTTTTTTTTTATTATATTGTAGTTTGTATGGTTAATATTAATGTAATTGTGAGCAAACTAGGGTTTAACAAAAGGTAATTCGGCCCGCACAAGGGGACATTTTCTCCGATCCGGCCCTCAACCTTAAATGAGTTTGACACCCCTGATTTAAGTGGACAAGCAAGGGTGACAGTTCTTAGTTGATTTCGGGTCTGACATGACTAAAGTCATAATTTCCGGTTCTGTAAATATATCCGTTTAATTTAGTGACTGATCCAGCTGATTCATATGTGTTTTTGATTCTAAAAGTTGCTTTGTGAGTCACACAGTTGAGTGAGTCATTGAATCATCAACCGATTCATTTATAACACAGATTCATCCAGGAAGTAAACAACATATAGCCTATATATTTGTAATATAATACAAAATTGTATTCTATTTATATATTATTAATATATTATTATTTATATTTGTATAAATAATTATTTATATTATTTATATTTGTATTCTATTTACATATTATTAATATAATATATTATTTATGTTACTATAAAATGTATGCATTTATTCACCAAAATAATGTGCTAAATATTCACATTAGTATTATAAAAATAAGTACTATATTCATCCAATATCACAAAGTTTATTTGTTCTCCATAAATCTGTTATGAATCAGTTTATATTCACATCTGAGACCTATTTACTTTTGTTTAAACGCTACTTTAAAAAAAACTGCTTTTATTTACTATGATTTATAGAATTATACATTACAACATATCATAAAAAAACTGCAAATGCTATTGTACTGTGTTAGTGAGATGTTGTATAACTCAATCTCTTTCCTCTTCAACTTCTGGTTCTTTATCTTTGTTATCATTATTTCGTTGTGCCTCAGCTGCTTTTCAGACCAGACACTTTACAGTAACCTTTACAGGTCATTTACTGCATAGTGATCAATACTTGACATTGCCATTTGAACATTTCACAGGCTTGGATTGAAACTCTGAGCTTTATGACATTATGCTACTAGGTAGAAGAGAAGCCCTAGGACCGACAGAGCTTTTCAGACTATAGTCTTTTGTCATGTAGTCATTTGTTTTCTCTTTGTGGGATGAGATTGTAGCTCCATTTCTATAAAGCACCAGTCCAAAATTAGTCTTTACAATCGGACAAAAATATAAGAGATAAGTAATGGTAATACTATATGCAAAAAGAAGCTTTTTCAGGTTTGCACGTCTCTTAAACCTTCAGATCTTTGTTATGAAACTAGAAAAGCGTTTTCTTTTTCAATTGTAGTTTTTGACAGGTCTGCCTTTCTGTGTTTGATGTATCTTAATGCTGTAGACTTGTGAGTGAGAGTGATATTATATAATAGTCTTTCATGTTGGTATCAGAAAGATGGAGCGGTTATCATTGAGTAACAAACAAATACCCTAATTATGAGCTATAAAACCGTAAGCTAATGTGGAAATGGTATTAGGTGGTGGGGGAAAAAATAAATCAAATCATCACATAGTGCAGGAGTAAAACAGCAATAAAAAGGGCTTCAACTCCAGTCCAAGCTCTTTGCTTTTGATGAACCAAACAACAGGACATTTGGAACATTTTCAATACCCTTTTTAATATCAGACTTCTTTGTGCAGATTCAGGACTGCTGGATGTTAGGTTCAGTTATGTTTCCTGTGGCCACCGTGACATTGTTGTAACCTATGCATGTAAACACTAAAGCACTGATAATTGAGCTCAAATTAGTAACTTGGTAAGTTTAAAGATGCATCATGAGTCACACAAAATTTGTAGAAGTTTTGTGTGTGTCTAAATCACCAGGCTGACGTTAACAAGCGAATGAAAATCAGAGTAAAATCCTCTTATCAGACTGAATCTCTCATTAGCTGATTGACAGCCTATACTCCAGTGCTTATTGAACCACAATACTGACTCTTAGAGGATGTGATATTTGGCCTTTTAATAACCAGTCATTGGATCACATTTACAGCACATTGTTACACCTTTTTAATGTTGATATTAACATGAATTTATTTGGGTGAGATCACATAGTAGTAACTCCATTACTCCTTTGACTTTTGATAAGACCATTTTAGGTTGGAGTTTAGCCATACCTGATAGTTTCCTCCTGTGCTCATATAAAATTTTTCTCTACAAACATCTCACATGTTCCTTGACTTTCTGGCAACACTGTTTGATTTAAGGCATATAATGAGTAATTATATATCATGTTTAGGTTGGGTACTGGAAATACCCCACTGTGTTGTCTTTAGTAGTACCACGATCAGAAATCAGAAAGCCTTTTTAGTTGTATACAGACAGGCAGTTCATTGTTTTTAGTGTCTTCGCTTTAGTGAACCGTGATTCATTAGGGACTCTGGAATGCAAGTTCACTTTCTACTTTACACAAATAAAGAAAGTGTTGTTGGTTGCAGAATATCACATGGGCATCAAAAAGTACTAAGAAACATAACAAGATTAAAAGAATCAGTTTCCCTTTGTGGTAACACATTCGCCTCATTAGCCCCCTGACTCAGCACTTGCTGCCATGAGTTTAAAATGCTTGTATAGTTCAGAAAATGCTTTCTATATACTGATATTTTATAATAAAGTTATTAAACCACATTATATATCATTTGAAAAATGTTACTTTATACTGTGTCTAAACAAGTGTCTAAACAACATCTAAACAAGATACATTTACTTGAGAAGCAAAATGGCATTGTAATATGCTTAAAACAAGAAAAAAAACATTGCCAGTAGTTATTTTTTCCATATAAAAATACTGACTATAAGTATAAGAAAATAAAAAAGGTATTAAATATTTTTAGTTTTATAGTTTTCATATTTATTC